AATAATAATAATATTTTAAAATACATCCGGCCAATTGATTGGGCGGACCCTCCTATTTTATATATTTTATTATTATATTTTATTATCTTACGGATTTTCTTGGAAAAATTGAGTTCTTTGAAATTTCCTGCGGATTTGTTATAGAATTTCTTTCTTATGAAATTTCCTACGAATTTACCAACGAAATCTAATAAAATGATATACAAAAATCATATATTTGAGAAATTCCACAGGAAAATCAACCAATACTAAATAAATAATTATAAAAAAAAGTACAAATCCACCAAATAAATGTGTTGAACTTTTTTATTTTATACTCTTTCATCCATTGAATAGAAAGAACCTCTTTATCAATAACTAAAATTTTAAAATCATAATGTTTATATATATATATATATATATATATATTTATTGATTGATGAATTGAGTGTTAATTTAATATATTTTTTTCAAAAAGATAGTAGGACAATAAAAATTTCTTTATATAGAGACTCATTCCCCTAGGGTAGGCCAATGCCAGATTATATTCACAGTAAGCACTTGATTACGAAATTGTACGACAAGATTAATAGAATCTGTGATTAGACTTAAGATCCTTTGAAATTTAGTGATAAATAATGAACTCGATCATGTGTAACTTTCGTTATCATACTATGATTGGGATAGTTTATGATATATACAAGATTTTCCCTTCATTATTTAGTTCTAAATAAAGAGATTAACTAAGAATAAGAATACGATGCTTATGCTTGGAAATAAAAGTGTGATTAGGTGGTGATTCCAAGTGTGTTAGAGAATGTATTTCCATTTATAGACAGTCAACAAGTTACCATTTATGGAAAGGAACAAACAACATAAAAGTTAGGCAGAAAAAAAATTCATTTTGTTTTCCTTCAAAATATCAACCGACAACTGAACAGCCCAATGGTTCTCTGAAGAATGGTCCTATGGAGATTAAACAGCATCTTCTTCTCTCACTCATCCATTAATAAATATTATAAAGAAAATTTCATGTGAATTATCATGCCTATGGATCAGATATATCTGCACAACTAACAACTTAATTGTTTTAACAGCACAAAATAACAATAATTTAATTAATATTAAAATGTACTCATGCATTCATACTTAAACATTTTTTTTTTGTAATATATGCAAACATACATTAATAAGTTAAGTTATACTGGTAGTACATTACAATCCGATAAATGGAAGAAAAAAAACAAACACAATTAACTAATTAATTAATTAGTCATTAATTGATTAACTTAGTGTTAACATGTTTGATAGTAGTGGGTCTGTTTCAAGTGAGTGTGTGCATGTCTTGGTAACATAATTATCGTTCTCATCCTCGTCTTCGTCCTCGTCATGGTGTATGATTATTATGGTTTCTTCAAGACAACCATGGTGATTGTCAATGTTCTTGTCCTCATGAAATACTACATTTCTTGTAATGAATGTTGGTAACAACGTAGAATCAGAATCAGAAATAGTAGTTGTAGTTTTTGTGAGATTCTTAGCTCTTTCAACTTGATTATTCCAATCCGTTCTACAAAGAACAACCAACATGAGAACAGCACACGTGCCTTGGGCCGCAAGCAACCCAAACCAAAGCCCAACAAAGCCCATTTTCATGACGAACCCGAGGAAAATACCAACTGGCATACCCACCAAATAAAAAGAGCCCAAATTGATATTTGCACCTACCGTAGGCCTAGCACTTCCCCTCAAAACACCACACCCTGTTGTCTGTGGACAATTACCAATCTCACAAAGCCCAACAATTGGTAAAACCATAGCCGTTAGATTAAGAATCTCTTCATCGTTTGTAAACAATCTCCCCCATTGATTCCTCATCAAAATAGTAAAAACCATAGCCAAAACTCCCAAACCAAACCCACAAAACATTGACACTATCATAGAAAAACGTGCTCTTGAAGGAGAATTCTCACCTAACAAATTTCCAACTCTAGTCGAAACACCAAGACTAAGAGAAGAAGGAAAAACATAAACCAACGAGGTTGTTTGAATAAGAATACCCATCGAAGATATCGTTGACTTTGGGTTGATCAAAAGTCCACACAAAATTATCATGAGTTCATACCACCACCATTCTAAACAGACAGAAACACACGACGGAATCGAAAGTTTAAGCAACGATGACCATCCTTTGAGACATTCCATACTAGGAAACACCCATGAGTCTTTATATACACCGGAGAAAACAACAAAAGATGAAAGAAAAATCAAAAGATTCAGATTAAACCAAATCATTGCTATTGCCACCCCCGCAACACCCATTTTGAAATGAACCACAAGAACAAAACTCAAAGGAACATGAAGAATCACAGACACAGCTGAACAATACGTTAATGGTAACGTTATGTTTTGTGTTCTTAGGTAAATACGAAGAGGGTGAAGAAAGGACAGAAAGAAAAGATCTGGTAAAGAAAACATGATGAAAGTTTGTGCGGTGGATGAAATTTCTTCATCTTGACCACATAACAAGAGAATATTTTTCATGTTAAGCCATACATATGAGATAGGGATTGAAGTAGAGAGAAGCAAAAGTGTTGTTTTTTGAAGAGTTAAACCGAGTATCTTCCATTGTTTAGCTCCATAAGCTTGTCCACAAATAGGTTCCATTCCCATGGCTAAACCGGAGATGATGGAGTAGCCGGTGATGTTCGCAAAACCTATAGAGAGAGAGCCTCCTGCTAGCTGTGTCTCGCCGAGATAGCCGAGGAAAAGCATAGAGATCATAGCTCTTGAGTATAAGAGTAAACCAGTTATGGCTGTTGGAACTGATATTTTACCTATGGCTTTCATTTCATCTATCACCTGAAATATTCATGCAGAAAAAAAGAGAAATGGTTAATAGTAGTTTATATGAAATGAATTGAAGGGTATGTTTGTTTGTTTGTTAATCATGGAACTGGCATGTGATTGTGACTAAAGAGAGATAGATGATAGCAACTAGTTACCAACTTCATTTAATATAAGTGATTATTATTTTTGTTCTATTTGATTATATTATACTACCTCATTTGGAGTTGGCCATCTTTGAAGTTCATTTTGATGGTGAAGTTCTTCACAATTTAGGAGTGGTTTTGGGTTTGGACTTATAAGGTGTGTTTGTGTGGGATACAGAAATGGAGATGTTGAGGATGGTTTGGGAATGGGATTACACATGGTGATGGATATATGTACACAAGTTAGAGAGAGAGAGAGAGAGAATGCAAAGTGTTTTGAGAGAGAGAATGGTGGGGATGGTTTGTGAGTTTGTGTATGGGATGGGAGGAAGAAGATGGAGGTGGGAGTGTGTTTTTATGCATGAACGAAAGGCTTTTGAGGCCTACAACTGTCACGTGTCATAAATAGAACAAAAATGCTAAAATTTATAGTGTACTAGTTACAAGGGACATTTATTTTTCTCTTATACCAAACACATTTTGTCTCTCAAAGGTAACACTAAATTATTTACCTTACCTAAAATTTACCACAAACACATTTTCAGATAATCATTCACACTGTAAAAAAAAATTAATCATTCACAAAAATTAAGTAAAAATATTATAAATTTTCTGTAATTTATATATATATTTTTTAATATTAACTATAGTTTTATCGATTGTTAGTTGATCATGATTGACGCTAAATTTAATTTAAAAAATTAAAATTTGATTTTCCACAATTGCAATCGAGAAGAAATTGAAATCACATTATATCATAACTAATTTTGAATCAGATTAATTCAGAATATAATGAAATATATATAGAAGGATTAAGTTGAATGATAGAAGTGGCTTGTGAAGGTTAATGGGAGGCAACCGACTTTAGCTTTCTCTCAAATCAAAATTGAAAAAGTGTTGTATTAATATTATACTTTTCTTAATTTAAAAGTGAAGAATAATTTATTTAAGTTGATGGATTTATTCGGTTTAATGGTATTTTTAGCGGTCAAATCAATAACGGAGTTTTGATTCGACAGTGATGGCCCAAACCAAACTAATGGATTCGTTGGTTGGTTTAATCTCCCATGGTTATTAAATTAATTAACAGATTTGTAAGTGGATAATACTTTTTAAAACACCATATTTCATATATTAAGATCAGAAAAAAACACGTAAAAATCAGGTTAAAATGGAGCAGACATCTTAGAGAATATGGACATCCTAGAGAACGTGGTAAATCATAAGAAAAAGAAGTTTGGCATTGCATGTTGTTTAAGCAAATACATGCATGATGCATGTCATATTTGATTCCAAATTCCAAACGCAACTACAGTCTAAAAATAGACGGACCGTGTCAAACACACAAACATTCCCTTGGCTACAACAGAGGAAGCAACTTTTCTTTCCAATCTAATGTAGGCCCCACACACATATGCATATATAAGAGTATTATATAAGTCACTGATTATTATAAAGTTTATCTAATTTAATTTCGTGGATATGTATATGGATTATGGAGGTAGGTGTTGGAGGTATATAACATGGAGAGACAGGGACCACCTTTGGTGTTAACAGTTAATGGAGAATGATGGTAGTTGGCCGTATAGACAAGAGACAGATGGGAGATATGAAACATTTAGGTGTGAGTGTGACAATTATAACTATTTAATTAGTACTAATTACTTGCATCTTTAATTGATTTTGTTTCATTATTAGAAAAGTTAATTAAAATTCTCTGAAACATATGGCCATCTCATGTCAGATTCCATTGTTTGTACTATAGCTCATGCACTTGATGCCAATGAAAGATATGTATCATGCAAGGGAACCCAATGCTCTGAAAATAAACCAGAGCATCACAAGCTCTGACAATGGACAATTTTAAAACCAACTCTTGTTCCAATGACTGGGAATAATAATACTACTATACAAATTCGAAAATAACCCGTCTCGAAATTTCGCATTCTCTCAGGGATTTGATTCAAATATATTTTTAAAAACAGGTAAAAACTCAAACTCAAGATCATGTAATGATGGTGTTCAGATTTACTGTGGTGGTCTATCTAAAAAAGATATATTTGTCAAATATATAATGTATCTTAAAACAGGCACTCCTATTGCAGAAAAGACAGTAAAAATTGGCACTAGCAACAATAATGCTCCTCTGCTAGCTCTAACAGATTCGCTTATTGTGTACCCTCCAGCTAAATCTTTTTCCACAGCCAAAGAGAAGTACCATGCTTCCGCCAGAAAGAGATTTTCTCCATTGACATGAGGAAATAATAGAATCTGCATCATTGAACAGAAAGATGCAGATGAGTATTTAACATCTAAAACTTAATAGTCCAGATTTTATAAACAATAGCAGTGTGAGCGTTGTACACTTAATTCTCTCATCAGTGGTTAACGCTAATGAACCTGCAAAGTTTAGATCCAAACATAACAGTTTTGCAGGCTAACCAAACTAGCAAATTCCAGTTGTGCAGCTGGCACATGGTTCAAATAAATTGGATCACTAGTAGTTAGGACAAAAGATGATATAAAGGTTGGTATTTTTTTTAATGCTCTTTGAGTCTTAGAAACAAGAATTGTACGAGAAGAATTGAAAGCAAATCAGAGATTCATCAAGACCGAAATGTACTTAACATGAGAGTTCATTTCATGGTCCAAAAGAAGCAAAATAAATTAAATGTACACATTAAATGACCCTTATAAATCGCCAACAAAAGCCCCTTAAATTGGTTGTCTCGAGAGATTAGTCTCTAGAGTCTATGGTTACATTTAAATTAAGGTTTTGATCGGCACGATTAATATACTCACTAATGGCCTCTAAGCGCACATTCATGAAACTAATATAAACAAATTCTGATGCACCGATGCACAGCATTGCCTCAAACTAAAAGAACTTTTCATGTGTGGGATGGAATAACTCCCAATCAGCAGCAACTCGTCTGATTGGAAAGGATGTTTCCTAAGTAAATTAGGAACTTATAGAAGATGCTCCAAGTACTTTCCCACCACATTTAATATTTAAAAGAAACATCTTTCACAAGTGGGACAGATTTACAATGAAGAAAATCCCCACTGAATTCAGATAATCTAATCAATATTTTGGTGACAGCTTTTATGATTACATTTGAGTTGTCAGGATGTTTGAAAAAGTAGTGCAATATGAATTGCTTCTTTTACATTGTTCCGTAATCCTTATACATCAAGAGTATTCATTCTTTCTTACATCCAGTACATGGTCCCCCATCGATAACAAAACATATATTCTCACTGTTTTAAACAGACCACTCACTCATCAGGATTACCAAGAAGAAGAAAACAAGGAAAAGTTTCCAAAACTTCAGAAAATAATAGCACTCTAAGGGAAAGGAAAACTCGATAGAAAAACAACTAATAACAGAAGTAAAAGTGTAAACATCATTATATACAAATTATTCTACCTGTTCAATTTCATTATCCATCTTCAAAAGAAATCTGTGGTCGAGCGTGATACCTCATACTGGGCTTCTAGGCTTTTGCGAACCAGTTCGGGGAATAGCAAAGACGGCTATGACTCCACTCATAAGAGCTGCAATAGCTGCCACAGCAAACGCCGGAGAGTTTCCTCCGCCAAATAACTGATCCCATGGTCCACTTCCTAAAGACACTATCATCTGTTTCAAATATGAAAAATATATTAACTCTGTAACTAATACAAATGCAAATCCTGCAGTATTAAACTTGTTAAACCAAATGCATTAGGTAACTTCTATAAAAGAAAGCGTCAGCAAGATATATTAAATCTCAGAAGCAAATTTTCTTTTTAAGGTGTATTCCTCTGGACTATGATGCCCATACTCTTCTTGAGTGTTCTTTCTTATCCTTAAATATTTCATGGAATAAGAATTTCTCCATGACTCTAGACCTCCAGTGTCAGGCCATGGTTTCTTTAACAAAATTTTCTCTAGAGATATGCAAAGATTGCAACCTTTATTGTTTTTTTGGGAGATTTTTTGTTTAGGTGCTTTTGGTAAAGGGGATTTGTCAGGCCATGGTTTCTTTAACAAAAATCTTCTCTAAAGATATGCAAAGACTGTAACCTTTGTTGTTTTTTTGGGAGTTTTTTTTTGTGATTTTGTTGAAGGGGATTTATTGGGCCTGTTTGTTTAAGATTTTTAAAAAATCACTTTTGATATAAATAATTTAGAGATTTTAAAAATATCAAATTATAATTGAAAAAGGCATAGTCACCATAAATTGTGTTGAAATTGCAGACTATAATTTTGTTGTCTCGTGCCACTAAAAGTTTTAGAAGTTTAGAAGACAACATGTATCAACCTCAATTAATTGCTTGTTCAAATTATAATTTTTTATCCGGTGATGAAATTGTAAGTGGTCACCTCAAGACCCGGGACCATTTCTCACATTTAATTCACGATAATATGTTTTTATTATTTAAGACAAACTGGTTCACTTAAACAACTATTGGGAATGCTAAACAATTCAATGGATATGCCGTTTTTAGAATTTAAGCTAAACTGGTTCACTTAACAGCTATTTAAAGGGCTAAACAATTCCACAGATATTCATTTGGATCTCCTTCTAGGGTGGATAATTTAACCGTTAAAAAAACAGATATTCGAAAGAGGCAATACCTGTGGGAACACTATTGCAAGATTTAGGACTCCCATTGACAATCCTGAAAGTGCCAACAGTTAATATAAATACATTTGTATAATCATATATTTCCACAAACGAATCATAAGGTATCAATCTTGCTCACCTTGGCCGAGCCCCAATGGTTGAATATGTGTGGAAATTAAAGCATATGGAACACTGTAAGTGATCTGAAACAATTAGGACGTCAGATTAAATTAATTTCTTCAACGTATGCATAATCAATGGGGCCATTTCCAGATTTACTTTGCTACACTGATGTTGATTTCAAGGAATATAAAAGACAGAAAGTGCACAAACAGTATGCTTTTAGCAGTAGAGAAAGCAACTTACTGCCAATGGAAACCCGAGAACAGTGAAGATGGTAAGTGCAGATATCACGATGCTAGTGGGTGGTAGATCTTTTCCTAAATAACCAATGTTCTTTGCCACGTAGGTTAATACAAGCATTGCTATAAAGCATACAGCCATTAGGACATTTGAGATTCCCCACACAAACCCAGCCCCCCGCTTCCTGCATAGCTTCTCCATGAGTAATGATGTTACTCCAAGAACAACTGAATTAAGCAATAAACCAAGTGCCCCCCATTCTCACTCCAGAACCATAATTAGGGCCTTCGTTTGGCTCACCGCCATAAATTTCTCGGCCCATCCAATCAGTATCAAATAGAAGAAATGGAAACCATCCAACCCATGTTAGAGCAGTAACAGACAATACTACCCATATAGGCTTTGAAAAATATTTGAATGTCCCAAATAGTTCCCATAAAAAAGCTTCTTCCGCACTACCACCTGACTCCCCCTTCTGCTTCGGCATCGGGTGCCCCACTTGACCCAAGAGGCACTTCTTTAGCTGCCATGATACTGATGTAGGTGGTGATGAGCATGAAACCAATGTCCAGAAAGAAAGCAGACTTGAGATTTGCACAACTGATATTGCATGCAGGGGTAAGTGTGAAAGGAAAGACCTTGTACCAACCACTGTATGCTCCAGTTGCATATCCAAGAATGTTACCAATAGCCATAAATAGGGAAAAATAAGCATTTGCAACTCGTGTCCTTCGATGATCCTTACCTTGCATTCCAAAGAAGAAAAAGATAGATAAATAAAACATGAAGGATGTCAATGGAGTAAATCAGCATTTAGTCTTTGCAATTGTACAGGTCGCACAATTTAATCCCTCAAATTTGCAAAATGACAATTTAGCTCCTTAAACTAAAAAACATTAATCAATTTAGTCTTCTGCCAAAAACATTTTTTAGAAAACATCTATCCAAACCAATGAAAGACTAACATATTATCTTGAATAGTCTCTTGTTGCATCAAGATAAACATAAAATCTTTGAAATAGTGCTGCTAAATTCAGGGAAATGACTATATTGACCGACGTTCTTTAAATTCTGTGACTAAATTGCTATTTTACAATTTGAGGGACTAAATAGTCCCAACTCTTACAATTTCAAGAACTAAAATAATTTTTTTTATCGATGTCAATGTGTAGTTTGCTTTTGACAGCCAAATTATTTTCATTTTTCAAAAGAATTATAGTTCACACAAACTCTCATCATGTCTTTTTCTATTTTAAAGAGTTCTATTCAGACATTTAAGGCCACTTTTACAAAAATAAAATGTAGGCAAGATAATTAAAATAAAGATAACTAACTAGTAAGTCATTTTAATTTAACCTAAAGCAGCATTCAGCAGTACATATGAAGACAATCTGGTGACAGCCAATGCAGAACATATTTATTTTTTATTACAGAACATTCAAATGTTTGATAATGACAAAAATTATGTGCTAGTCAAAATCTCTGTATCGTAGAATAGGAGTTCAAGTCAAGGTGGAATCCATGTTATCATAGAAAATCAAAAAGGGAAAAATGGTGCAAAGAATAAAAGGTAATGAGAACTAAACATGCAAGGAAAAACCGTTTTAAAGGAAATGTGCTCTATATAAAAATCCCTTAAAAATCTAACAACAGAAACATCATCTACCTTTAGATGAATTAGGTGTCTAATTATCTAGAGGTACATGACGGAGAAATTAACTTTCAAATAATTGAGTAGCAATGATTGTCAAGTTAGCATCTCACTCATTCGGGTATAACCCATGCACACTGTTAAGGGAGTTCACATAACTGAATTTAGACCTAAGATTACTAAGACCCAAACCCCATCTAAGGCCTATAGTATATGTCACACCTACGTGAATAACCAAAAAAACAAACCTTTTTTTCTCCTAACCTATGTTGAATGACATTTAAATGCAATGTTCAAATACATAACAAATTTACAATGTGAACCTATAACTTTAACTTGATATCCTGAATCCAAGTTCATTAGCAAATGTAGAGGTGAATTTTATCTTAGTCTGTATGCATATATTGATATAAGAATTCATTGACATTCACTCATCATGAATCATTTTGCTAAATATAAATATATGGACATCCACAAGTATATACATGAATTTCATTTCAAACACTTAAAACAAAAGTTCCTACTAAAAATAGATCAATTAACAAAGAAACAAAAACACACATTTCAGCATCATCAGCAGCAGCAACAAAATAAAACTAGGGTTTTCAATTTTCACTCCTAAGATCATACTCATAGAGTGGAGAATTTTACCGGTTAGATCACCGAGCAAAGCTCTACAAGGACCTTGAGTGACATTATTAGCAACATCCAAAATCCAAAACCCGAAAACAAAAAACGCGACCGCGGATCGGCGATGCTCCTCCGTATCACCAAACTTCCATCCCAAATCCGCCGCATGACCAATGATGAGCACAGACAAAGCAATCGAAATAGCTCCGGCTAAGATAAACGGTCTCCTCCTTCCAAATCGACTCGTACACCGATCACTCAAATGCCCAACCAACGGCTGAACAATAAGCCCGGAAAGCGGTCCACATAACCATATAATACTCGCCCACGCATGCGGAATCCCGAGCTGCTGCACATAGGGGGTTAGAAGAGATAACTGCAAAGCCCATCCGAACTGAATCCCGCCGGCCACTGACGCTACTCGGAGTAGCTTCGTGAGCGGGACTCTGTCTTTGGGCCGAGGTTTGGACCGAACGGCGGAAGACGACGGTCGAGTTTTGGAGCGGTGCGATTGGCGGTTGGATTGACGGGAAGATTCGGGATTCGGCATTGTGGAGTTTGAACAGAATTGTGTTGTTTTGGGTTTGTGTGTTCATGTTTAGGTTGTTTGCGTGAACTTTGAGAGCGTTTCCTGAGGACAAGGGCATCGCGTAAGACCAGGTTGTGATTCTGTTGTTGGAAATTGTGATGAAACGTTTTCAGTACAACTTTGGATCTATTTTCAGGTCTGTGTCCTCACATGATAATGTTGTTTTTCTTTTCTTTTTTTATGTTTTCACTCAACCTCCATTTTGACACCCATAAATGATGATGATGTTGGCATGGAAAGTGGTGATGTTGTATTCTCCATGTCAGCAAATGAATAAAATAGGGCTTTAACAGTTTTTTTTTTTAATTTTCATCTTTATATTTCTTTTATGGAAAATAATTTTAATGTTGAAATTCTTTTGATTTTAATTTTTAAAGTTAAAATTCGTAAGAAAATACGAAAGAAAATCTTTAGGAAATCTATTGATTTTAATTTAAGAGATTAAAAATGAAATTGATGTATAGATAATTAATGTCCTAACATATGTCTAGACACTGATCTCTGTATACACCTTAAGGACGGGATAAAACACTAATATAATACTTATCAAAACAAAGTCATGATAGATGTTTCAACATTTATTACGACATATCAATCAACAAAAAAATATTAAACTGTAAATTTGCAGGTGATAATAACACAAATATATGATGACCCAGTTCGATTTACAACAACACCTACTCTGAGGGCTACCAAGCCAAGCAGAAGATTCCATTATCAGTAGTATTATTTTAAGTAAACAACTTTTGGTTTATAGGTAAACAACCTCGTTTTACCTAATCACTACTGTGATACGGTGGGAGAACTGACTTGAGAATTTTGCATTTTATCGCAAATGTTGTGGTTAGCAAGAATCACCATCGATTTTTCTTTTATCCAAAAGGAAAGGTGAAAAAGCACAGGAAAGACCTTTGAGATGTTTTCTTGAGTTCGGGGGGTAGATTATGAAAAGGGAAGGTATTAGCACCCTTTTCATCCATGGTTTTCCATGGGCTCTTAGTTACTTGCTTAGATCACTTGCTTTTGTTTGTTTGAAATTGTGTCTGGTGTGGTTTTGAAAGTATTTTGTAAAAGAGACCATTCATTTAGGCAATCTTTGTAATGATTCTCGTTTGTAAGAATGTATACAAAGATGTTTGTCTTTTTGAAAATGTTTCAATGTTTGTAAAATGTTTTGGAAACGTGTGTGTTTGTTTTGAAAGTAGCAAGGATAGTTGTTTAAAATAGAGCAAGTAACTAGAAGTAATCTACCTACTCAAATGTCTTTCTTGTTCATTTTCTATTCCTTTGACATTGTTGTCTTACCATTGATTTGGTAAGCAACCCTATCTTTGGATGTAAACGGGACGGGCGTGGGTCATCGTATGACCATGATTAGCAATGTTTGCAAAGTATCTTAGCATTTTGTGGGACCAAGATCATCTTGTAAGGCAACTTTTGAATAGCGTCATCGAGGGACTATGATCTTTATATTTGCTTGTTTTTGCTAAGATACTTCGCATGCGTAATATGGCAATTTTTGTTTTAGGCAACCAAGTGGAGAAACTCTAAGGATGCTTGTGTGCAAGTGTGTTATTTTTCATGCTTTGGTTTTGTCTTGTATTTAGCATTTTCTATGTTGTTTTGTTTTGATCTTGTCATACAAACCCTAATTACTAATTATGGCATGTAAAGCGATAAATTGCGTAATGTAAATATGTCTAAGCTATTACAACAATTTATGGGAGGGGGGAATACAAATTTGAATGGAGATTTGCAAAAAATATAAACCTAAATAAATTATTACAACCAAATCGGATTTGTACGAATTAGAATAAGTATAATACAATATTTTGAAAATGCAATACAATGTACATGTAAGAAAAAAAAAATTGTTTTTGTCTTGTTTCTATGTAAAAGAAAATTTAAATCTAAACCTAAAAATGTAGGGAAAAGAAGATAATTTTTAGAAGGGAGTCCTAACCCTAATTTTTATTTTAAAAGAAAATGAAGTTCATATGTATTATTTTTTAAGTATTTTTTTTTGTATTTAGAATAATAAATAATATTGTATAAAAAAATATAAAAATTTTATATATGCAAAAATAAGTATTTATAACTATGAAATGAAAAATAAATTAAACTAAATATGTTTTAACTATATTTTACAAATTTATTAAGAAAATATATGATATCTCTTAAAATAAAATATATTTTTATGTGAAAAATAAACTAAAAATAAAATAAAATGCAATATTATGAAATTTACATTTTTTAGGATTTTTATGCATTAAAGAAATATTTAATATATATATATATATATATATATATATATATATATATATATATATATATATATATATATATATATATATATATATATATATATATATATATATATATATATATATATATATATATATATATATATATATATATATATATATATATATATATATATATATATATATATATATATATATATATATATATATATATATATATATATATATATATATATATATATATATATATATATATATATATATATATATATATATATATATATATATATATATATATATATATATATATATATATATATATATATATATATATATATATATATATATATATATATATATATATATATATAATGAAAATAAGATAAATAAAATAAAAATAATAAAAATATAAAAGGCTGGCAAGGAGGTGATGTAGCAGATTGGTAGTAATGTTAGCAAAAAATACTGGCCCAAAAGACTAAGCCCAACCTGCAAAAATGGCAAAATGGAAAAGAGAAAAAATGTGAAAAAAACACAAAAGTAGCGCCCAGGTTCGAACCCAGGACATGGGTCTCACCAGCGCGCTATTTTGCCACTGGGGTGGCTATACATCCATTGTCTTAAGGAAAACAAAAATAATATAACCCAAAACAAGTATTTTCCTTGTACTTCATCTTCTTCCTCAAGTTTGGCCAGACATCTTGTAACTCTCTCATACTTCCATGAAAATGAAAACTCATAATATGAAAGTTGTAGTATTTAAACTCACGATTCCAACCATATAAGTTATGTAAACTAACAATCAAAGATCAAAGAGAATCTTAAAAGCCCTAAATTTAAACCTAATATTTTCAGAAACTTCAAGTTCTAAATTCTCTCAACTCAAGTAAAATCAATGCAAGATAAAGATATGTACAGTTTCGTTGCAATGAGGGCTACATTTTTTATTCATAAATCGTGGCCAATGGTTGCCTGTATAAGGAGATAGAGTTTGAGATTTTACCTCTTTCAGTTGGAATCGTGGATGGAACTGGAGTGAGTTTGATGGAGGCCTGATGCTTGCTTGAGCTTCCTTGAACTTCCCTGAACGTATTCCAACCTTTGCCTTGCTTTGAAAGTGCCTGAAACTCCTTGGCCAAGTCAAACTGCAAGCTTTGAAAGCAATAATGGCAGATGATGGAAAAGTGATTACAGAACAGGGATGAAGGTCTGGATTGGTTTGATATCAAGTATGTAAGATGTTTGAATGATCAAAACTTGAAACACATGAGCCAAATGGAAGATGGATATGCTTGTGCCAAAACTGCAGGTTTGGACAGATTTCTGGTGTTTTTTGTGCTTGGGAGTGTTTCAGGCCTTTACTAATCGTGTGCTAAGTTGTATTCTCTTTTTATATTAGTATGGAATTGGTTTCATGTCAACCCTCTAACAGCTGTGCTAGTTATAGCCTTTTTGCAATTTTTCTTGCATTTGAAGTAAAGTGAAGGGATAATGCTTGCTATGCTTGTACTTGCTCCATTAGGGTTGGTATCAGCTTGTACAATTTGCCTTAGACCTGTGAGACTTGTATGTGCCAAGGGGACAGGTTCAATGCTCAAGATTTGCAAAGTGGCAAAAGTTAATCTTTTTCAAAATAGCAATGGTCACTTTTTGCCATAAATGGAATTACAAGTTGGATAATGGTTCTAATGCATGGATCAAAGCTTTGTCAACTGAGTAAGAATTTAGTTAAGGAGTGTGGAACAAGTTTGGGACCTGTAAAGTATGGATTAGGCAGCATAGGTACTGATTGTAACTTTGTTCTTCATGAAATGGCTTGGACAAAAAGTGAGAAATTGCCAACTTCATCTCTTCGATTCTCCCTACTCAAAAATGATCTTGAGGAGTTCTTGGACATTTTGGAAATATTGCAATGTTCTCTATAACTAATATTTGAAATGCATTTTGATATACCTCTTGGAACTAGGTGAAAAATTGCCATGAAGTTGGGTCCAAAACCTGCCTAAATTAGGGCAAAATTTCACTAAGTTATTTAGTTCATGACCATGTATTCATAAATTTATATCTTGAGATCCAAGCATCTTTAGGGAGAAGTGTGTGAAGAAAAGTTGTAGATTTCATGGAGTTCTACAACTTTCATGTTGTGAACTTTCTTTGAATCATTATGCATCATGGTGAAAAAGTGGCCTAAATTTGGGGGAAAATAAGAAATTTTCTATACTTAGAAAATTTTCTAAGTTAAGAAAAATTTCAAATTTAAACCCTAATCTTCAAACTTGGATTTCTTGATGAACAAGTTTCACATTTTGACATGTTTTGATGAATTATAACCCTTGGCACTTGATTTTGACCAAAAAGTCAAAGTTTGACTTTTCAGTATACAGTTGACTTTTGATTAGTTGACTGCAAATTTCATCTATCAATCTAATGAAATTGAGATGTTTTGAGCCATGTAATTAGGTAAAGATGATGCAATTGAACCCTTGAAATCATGCCTTAACTCAATTGGTCATTTGCTAGGTTAAAAATCAGAAATTGCCCCTCCTCAGTCAAAACCCTAATTTTGACCATTTTGCTCTTTTGGTGATTTGATCAAATTTCTTGAGGAATTGTGATCCAAACTTGACCAAATGATACATATAAGTTTAAAATGTTGATGTGGATAAAAAATTATGAAGTTTGACTGAAAATTGGCCA